ATTATTATTATTATTATTATTATTATTATTATTATTATTACTGTTATAAACGTGTGTTTTTCTGAACTTTATTGGATCCGCTAAGCATAAATATTTTCAATGATAGCGTAGATCAAGATGATGGTCAAGCTAGATCGATTTTGATTTTATGCGCTAAATATAAATTGTTATTTTTTATCATCCTTATTTTTCTATTTTTTTACAAAATATCTTGATCTTTTCTGAAAGTTTCAAAATTAAAATAAGATAAATGGGATCCTATAATCAATGTACCTTCAAAGCTGATTGGCGCGCTGTAGCTACTCAGGGGAAGAAGCGTTGCGTGACGCTACTGAAAGCGGCTGTGCCAGAGGCCGTGTGGGGAAGCCCCACACGGCCTCTGGCACCCAGGGTAACTAGCAATTTATTTTACTTTACCTTTTACAAACCTTCTCACCAAGCGCAAATACTCTTTCGTTTTTCTACTACTTGGACTTTTTTGCGATTCTTTTTCAGTAATTTAAAAGAATTTTTTACTGGTCAACTGAYGTTTCACGTTTGCCGTGAACGTACATGATCTAAAACTCTCTATTGTTGTTTTCCTTTCTTCAACACAGCCGTGGAATTTGAAAGCGTGATCAAACCTGATGAACCGTATCAACCAGAACCGAACAAGTCAAGCACCACATCGAATTGGAGAATTATACTCTTCATTTAGCAAAAGTATAGGCCATTCAAATGATAAAAGTTGAGCTAGATCGATTTTGATTTTATGCGCTAAATAAATTGCTATTTTTATCATCCTTATTTCTCTTTTTTTACCAAATATCTTAATCTTTTCTGAAAATGTCAAAAGAAATTAAGCAGCCAGGAAAAACTTTTAAAGTGTCAACGTACGACAAAAAGAGCTACAATGTACTAGTAGCTCAGATAGCATCCCCCACTCTTCCACCGAATCAAATACTTTCTCTTCGCTGCTTTAGAAGATTTTAAGAAATGCTTGAATGTATTTTTTGTACTTTTATAGTTCTCAATGATGTGATTATAGTATTAGTAATGTAATAAAACGAAGGAAAATGATATCAATTACTTCGCCACTTTTTTTTAAGTATTTGTAATACTGTATGTAGAATATATAATAAACTTTAAACGTATTTTTGAGTGATTTAGGGTCAAGAAAGGCTGGTATATAGCTCACCGTTTGTTGCTTATGTAATGGTCTGACTGTAGAATCGGGGAAACCCCCTTCTCGCTGGCACGACACGACAACAATACATGAATAGGAATACAGTGAGCTGATTGGATGAGAAACAATAACAAGTATAAACCAGCCAATCAGGTTACGGATATCAAAGTCTAAAGACTCATGCAAGAATGCAGATTATACGAACTGACCTCCATTTTGTCGCATTTCTATTATTATTTCACGATTTATTTAGCTTTGCTACCAAAGAAACGCTTAAATTCTTTATGTAGCTGCAATATATGCTCATGTACTTCAAAAACCGATGAAAAAAGACCATTTTCGAGGAACGATTTGACGGATTAAAGCAAAGAAAGCGGTGCCAAGCTCTTCGAGTATCGGGTTATTTGATGGCGAATTCATCAGACTTCATCGTGAATTAAACCGTTTTCCATGGCTTATGGAAGTTTTCAAGGCCTAAGTTGTCCATATTTCGTATTTCAAAGAATCTACTTCAAGAGAAATTCCTTTGATTTCGATGTAAACTTTACCTGTATTTGATCGATGAGTGTTTAGTACAAGCTTATTTATGGTTGACTGACGACGATGTAGAGACGACGCTCTGTATTGAATTGACTCTTTCTTTATTACACGTGTTTGGGATCTACAGCGACTCATACGATGAAGCGAAGTAAACGTCTACTAAAAACACATAAAGCTTCAAAAGGAACGACTAAGATTGCTAAAACGAAGAATAATTGTTCAAGATCTACTGGACGATCCGGCACACAAACTTCTGAGACTTCTGCGGAGTGTAAACAAAGCAACGAAGAGAGTGATACAGAATCTGTAAAAACAGGTCCCCATATTCATCGCACTCAAAGAGTTGATAGCATTAATATTGAACAACAAAAGACAACAGACGTTGCAGGATCGTCTAACGATGACATCAGTGACAGATATAGGAGTTCCCCTGGGGGGACAACAGAGGAGGTTTTTGTAAGTCAAGGAACACAGGAATTAAAACGCAATGAGCGTCAAAGTCCTACAATGCCGAACTTATTTTATCAGGATAATGATGGAGACACGTAAGTATAGAGGGACGAATTATTTTCTTTAAACTAACAAATTTTAAGAAAATGCGAGCAAGAGCGTCAACCACGAAAGATTTTGGACAGAGAAATGGTTTTCTTTGTTATCACTTTCCTGATTGCTTCTTATACATCATTTTTGAACCTAACCTTTTCCCTTTCCTCATAAGTAAATTCTTTGGATTATTTTTTCTTGAAATAGAATCGAACAAAACCATGCAGTTCAAAAAATTAAACTTTAAAGTAATGTTAGGAAATTTAAGCATGAAGAGTCAAGATTTGCTTTCATTCAGGGGACAATAAACGTGACAAGATCAATGGAATCATCGACATAAAAGGCATCATTTTATCATAATTAATTTTTGCTGAGGTCATTAAAATTGCTATATATCCAACTTCTGTGTGAATTAACTAGTAAACTTTTTGAACTTTAATTCCTACGAACAAAAAAAAAACTTAAAAATTTCTTGAAAATTTTTTACGGGCGATTCATTATAATTTTCGCGGAATTCGAAATCGTAATAATAATTTCAAATATTTACATTGAAGTTTTAGGGGTTATGTTTCCCTGCTAGCAGAGTCTGCTTCATTGGCGATTCTGGGCAGAGAAAATAGGAGACTGCCGTTTAGGCCGTTTTCTTTGATATACCGCCATCCAAGATCATGGACGAACCAAACAAGTTTTGAAACCGGCAGTCTCCCATTTTCTCTGCCACAAATCGCCAGCAAAGGAGAGTCTGCTGGCAGGGAAGGGTTATATTTAATGATAACATTAAATCTTTGTCATAATCAATACATATTGATTTGATTTTGTTATCTTACGTACGACTCTCTGAAAAAGTGCGTTTTTATAATCAATCGATCATTATCATTTCCGCTTCGAGACGAAATTTTAAGAATTCAAAGCTCGAAACTTTAAATATCATTTAACTATAAACTGGTACGGTTTGTATACGTAACTCTTAATCTTATTTTCAAGCCCTTAATTTTTTTGATATGATAACACGTTACGAGTAGTCAAAATCCTTCTATACCATAACTTCTGTTACTAAGAACTTGCTTTGATAAGTGATATAAAGAGGCAAAAATCGAAAAATATATCTATAAATGGCAAAGTCGGAATACAGAAAACATTCGAGTGTTCAACGGTACACTTATTTGGCTTAATTTCACAGATAAAAATGTTTAAAATAAAAATGATTTAGAATATAAGGAAAATCTCTAATACTTGGCAGAGTGGTAAATATATATAGTAGTCTGGTGAAAAAGTTGTTTAAAATGTCAAAGTGAAAGTATTTAGATTGACCTCTTCCGCTCTGCTGAGGCTACCTTGAAGGAGTGCTGGGGAGGGGGTAGCCTGCGTGCAGACCGAATTTAAAAGAGTAGAATTCGGTCTGCTGGACTGGCTGAGATTCGTATGGTGTTTTGAATCTCAAATGGTTTTCACTCTGAAACAATCAGTTTACACAAAAACGCCATTCGATCACGATCGTTGGATGTAAAAACCATAGTCAGTCCCTGTATAGTGCATTCAAATGGCTTCATCTCTGAACCAATAAGAATTTGTGAAACGCACGCCATTCTCATAATCCTTGGATCTAGAAATCATTTTGAACAGTGTCTGTATATTACACTCAAATGGCTTCCACTTTGAACCAATCAGAGTCACAAAAACGCACGCCATTTAATCACGATCATTTGATGTAAAAACAATTTCAGTGTCTGTATAATGCACTCATGTGACTGTAAAGCAATAAGCCGATTCACAAAAACGTACGCAGATGTTCACAGTGAAGCTGTATAGTTCCATAATCCTTGCATGTAGAAACCATTTCAAGCAGTGTCTATATGGACACTCAAATAGCTTCAACTCTTAACAACTCGTCAGTCTTAGCAATCTTATTGGGTCTCACCGGTGCGATTTAATTCCGAATCGCACCATTCGACCAATCACACCAGAGAAGAAAGCCAAAAATGAGCCAAAAATTTGAAGGGGATTTTCTAGGTAAAAGAAAGTTTTTTGACGAAATTTTAAATTAAAAATAAGTGCTAAATTTAATACTATTGCAGGAGATTTCATAATGAGTATACTTAAGTGGTAATTGAAGTTTGTGTCGTGCAATTTCGTAATCACTCGTATGTGATTTCAGACCAAAATTGCACGACACGACGTATAATTACCATTTTAAACCAAGAATTCACACAGGCGCGAGTCAATGTTTACGTGGGCTAGCACCACAATATTTGTCTGATTTGGTTTCAGTAAGTAAGGTTTCGAGATATAACCTCCGGAATCATAAGGGCACTCTGCTAAATCCAGCTAGTGGTGACAGGGCTTTTCAATCTGCGGCCCCTAAACTGTGGAACGCTCTTCCTGTTGAAATCAGGAATGAACTGTGTATCAGGAAATTTAAA